CGGCTCCCAAAGGTGCACGTACGGGCCTGAGGCACCTGAGCGGGTTCCCTGCGGGGAGGAGGGTGCGCAAGGCTCGCCATGGAGGGGCTGGGGCTTTTGCCTCATTTCTGGGAAATCTTCCTCTGAAACAGACCAGTAGCAGGGCCCCGGGAATAGCATTCCTATACGGGCAGTGCTCTTTGGCGGCTGGGATCTTTTTTGGCGTCGAGTCGCCCGTGAGAGCTCACCCGGCCTCGGGGGAGGGGGCACCGGGGTCAGCAAAGCCGAGCTCTTCAGGCCGTGTGCAACATTGAGGCGTGGGAACTCTCTCATCTGTCAAGTATTTGGTGCAGTTCCTGCTACAATCTTAAAGAGAATAGAATTAACCTGAACAATTGTTTCCATGGTAAAACGTGTTGGGTTTTTTTTGAGATCCTATGTATGGATCCAAGTTTGCAGGCTTTCCTGGGGCGGGCGGCGGCAGGAGGTACCCTGGGCAGGGCCTGCGGGAGGGCTCGGTGTGGGGCGGCATTTTCACTCTTTTGTAGCACATCAGTAGTGCCTGCGAAAGTTGTCTTGAACCTGCAAGCTTATTCTTGCATTGTGGTTTTTATCTTTAACGTTCCAGGAGAGAAACATGACTCAAGCAGTTATCATTCATTTCCTGTCTCTCCTTTTTTCGGGTAACATGAGAAATAACTTGCTGCTCTTGTTCACACTGTTGTGTCCAGCATGCTAAGGCAATGGAGGTGAAGGTTCTCATCAGTCCCTTTTCTTTTCTAGTTGTCTTCCTTTCATTTATCCACAGAAGATATGCCAATCCATGCTCTGCACTGAGCAGACAAGCAAGGACATTTTGTAAGAGGGTAAAAGAAGAAAACATACTCCATGCCTGCTGGCAGGTTTGGAGGGCAAATCTGTAGTCTGACTCCAAACCATTGAGGAAGACTTTTCAGAGCTCCAGGTTGTAAGTGTTGCCATGCCAACACATAGTCTTATCCTAATCCCTTCAGGAGAGATTTCCAGGGCTTCTTCTGACTCAGGAGTACAGGAGACACATTGATAGCCTTGTGAAAGGGAGATTGGAGGCTCCAGGTAGCAGAGGTGCCCAGGAGAGTTTCTGGGAGCAGAGGAAGTTTGTGCCTGCCTATCAGCATCAAATTCCAGTAAATTATTTTGGGTGGTTTGGGGCTGTCTGGTAGTGGTTCCTACCCATCACTAGTCCTTCCTTTAAGGAAAAAAAGTCCCTCTTTGTTAGCCTTGCTGCTGGGTTATTTCAAGTGAAAAAAAAAACAACCAAAAAAACCCCAAACAAACAAACAAAAAAACCCAACAGAAAACCAAGAGTTGAGGAGCTGTAGCAAGACTTTGGTACTGCCAAATATGTAACACTTACTGGGGAGAGTGGTTAATGAGTGATGGCCTCTTAGAATTGCATTTACTGTATCAGCCTTGCTTGTTCTGAAATAATTAATCTGGCTTGAAAACCATTACCACACACCATTAAAAATTACTCAGGAGTGCTTTGTATGCCTCTGTTTCACACACAATTGCTTCATTCTGGAAGAGCAGGGAGGTTAGTGTGCTTCTCTGGTAAAATGAACCAAGAAACTTGTATTGTGATGTAACTGCAGAAACTGGCAAACCCCCTACTGTTAATTATATTTTGTTATTGTGCTGCTTAAAGGCCAATTAAGAGAACAGCTGTGGTAGTTAGGGACAGTAAAATAGAGGTGAGTAACCAGTTCCTATTTACAAATTCTCACTATAAATAAGCATCTGGTGGGAGGGATGTAATGCAAGGTCTGTGGCTGCTGTAAGGGCAGGAAGAGTTGTGCTAATTCTCTTGGGTTTTTTCTCACTGCATTGTGAATGTACTGACAGAGGGAGTCAGGAGAGGGCTTTTGTCAGTAACACACCTGAACCAGAACTTCTGCCCTTTATCTAGTCAGATAGAGAAGGAAAATGATCAGTGCCCCAGAGTGTGGCAGGTCTGCCTTGCGCTAGTCTAAAAGTGATACTGATGAGCAAGTATGGACATAGCTAGGGTGCATTCTCCACCCTTCTCTCTGGGTTTTCACTTGTTCTCTGTTGAGACTCAGCTATAGCAACCACTTTCTCATGAATAAGTAACTGAGGCACTGCTAAGGGACCACTTAATAATTTCACCTTTCTGTCCTGGCAGTAATGCATTCCTAGCTTTCACCCTCCCTGCTTGAGCCTCAGAGGGCAGCACCTGATGGACTCAATGCAGAAATTGTGTCTGTCTTCATTTTGCAGTATCCAGAGAGGGCTGCAACCATTTGGACCTTGGATCCTGAGCTAATATAATGGAGTAAGAATTTTTCTTCTTTGCTTCTTAAGTCTGACATTTAGGTTCCTGTGTGTCCACTTTCACACACATGAATATTGGTGGAAAAAGAGAAAAAACCCTTACTGAGTGTAATGATGCAGCTTTTGGATATAGCAATTAATCTATGAATTAACACCTGGAAATACACAAGTATCCCCAGTGCTGTTACATTCAGCTCTTTTGACAGTTATTAGAAATTAGGGGATTGATTCCTGTTTACATCAAAGGTCATTTGATTGCTCTAGAACTAGAAGCAGTCTTCAAATAGGTATATCATAAATTCATATCCTTATTAAATCCCTTTAATGTTGAAACAACAGTGTGAAATAGCTTTTGTGGAAATGAATATCTCATCTATATGATCTCCTAAAGGAAAAGGTGTTGGTGGTAAAAAACTCAGAAAACACCTCCTCCTGTCACTTTCAGGTCAGTCTTACAAGAAATGGTGATGCATGGCTTACAATGCATGACATATGAATCTCTGTACATGATTGTCATATGTACAGGATCTACAGGAATGCTGACAGCTTTTTTTACTCCAAGCAATCATTGTGACAGGAAAGTGTAATGGAAACATGCTAGCATACAGCATAAAATTGTTTATGTTTTGCTTCAGTAAAACCAATGGAGTTAATAGAAAAATGTAAAGAACCCAGGGAACAAAAAGATAACATTCATAGATCTCGGCATAGGCCTCTTCTGACTCATCTGGGATAAGATTTTAAAATGAGAGATTTATTTTTCCTTTAACAAGAAGAAAACTTGGCCATCACTGGGTGCCCCTGGTGATTCCAAACTGAATTTTAAGAGCTCAGCTTCACACAAAACTTTGATCCCCTAAAGAAGTGCTATCAGCGGAGCATCTTTAAGTGAAGAAACCACCTTTCTTTGCCCTTGTCAGGCAGAGAGCAGATTCCAAAGTTATTAGAAACATGATTTGAAATTATTTTCCAGCACAGTCTAGTGTGTTGGCAAAGATGCACTGTATAAAATGTGACTGCAGGTCATTGTCTCTATCCAGATGCTCTCTTCCCTCGGCAGCAAAGTCCACCTTTATTCCCAGGCTTTAATAATTGCTGGACCAGGAAATAGCTGTGGTTTCACTGCTTCTATGGGAACAGAAAGCATGCTATGTAAGCAGGCAACTGAGATATGTCACTGAATAGCAGCCCTTGCAAAAGCAGGATGAAATAATTTGGGAAAGAATTAGAATTGGCCAAGACGTGGTGGATCTGTGGCTGTGCAGATCCACTGGTCAGACAATGGCACTGGGGGATTTGTAGCAAGCAGAAATTTGGCCAGAGGCTGCAGCAGTGGCTGCAGCAGCTGTTACCATTCTTTTTCAGCTTAAAAAAACCCGTTTTCCCATGATTGCCACACAGTTTCTCCGTACAAAAGCTGTTTCTGTGTGTATGGATCAGGGTTAACTCTTTCATATTATACAGATTATTTTTTTTTCTTTGCTCATGGAGCATGGAATAGATGATGTAAACTCACTATATGAAAACAGTAATCCTCTTCTGAAGAAAGAGTGGCATATGGGAACTGGGGTCTGCTGTGTGGAACTGACAGATGATTTTTGTTCTGCTTTGCTTGCCATATCCAAATTCAGAAATGCAGCAGTGTGTGTGTGTATATACATTCTTTTTTTCTTCCCCCGGTCCCTCAGGAAAATGTCTGGTTGGGGGAATTTGCTCTGTGTATTGTATTCACATGTTATTTCGTAAGTAAATCTGCCCTGAGCAAGTGAGAGGACATAGTTTGTTTTACAGTTATCCACTTAAAAGATTGCTGTGGTCAGAAGACAGAAAAATGTTTACAAATAATTCATCAACAGGTTTTCTAATCTTCAGTGCAACTACTTTAGTATAGTCTGTTACTTGGAAAAAAGAAATCAGTGATTCCCAGGACAAAGCCTATGTCAGAAAACAGGGCAAAACCTTTTCTAGTATCTTAACAAGGTACCCTACCTATAAAACTGGGAAATGTGATGAAAGGGAAAAATTATGGGATATAGCAAAATTGGATAGCTGAATGATATCAAGGCATGCTTTTTGCAAGTGCAACATTGTTTTTTTCTTTACTTCTTCATGTTAGGGCAAAATTTCCCTCTTTAACTCGTCTGTAGCTCCCATGTGAGCAGCACATAGCACTCTTGAATAGATGACAGCACTGGGAGATCCATAGTGGAACAAGTTCAAAACATACAAAAGAGATCCCCAGTGCAGATGGGAGAGTTAAATTGTGCTTGGAAGTAGTGATTGCATCAGGCATTTTTTTTCTCCACAACAGCAAATAATGTCCTGTTGTTGTAAAGCTTTGTCTTCCAATGTCTTTTCTTTGGCCACTAGATATGGGTCACAGCTCTAATGCAGCAGATGATTCTGAATGATTCCTGGCTTTCCCACTGTCTTTTGCACTGCAGTGTTTGGGTCGAGAAAATGAATTTTGCATGTTTCTCATGAGTCATGCTAGATTTACTGTTCTGAAACTGTGGCTTTAAATCATACATGTGAACAGATCTATGCAGTATTTTGCAGACATACATGCCTGTGCTTTCTGGCCATAGGTGAGTTTTGGTTTGCAAGCTCTGTGGCTGCAGAAGGGTAATGCTGGACTGTGGTTTGTAGGAACTGCTTCCACTTAAGTCAGATTTACCACTAGGCTGAATGGTTATATGGCTTTTGGTGAAGCTGCCTTGTGGATCTGGAATATGGGAGAAGGAGTTTATGTTTGTTATCTATTATGCCCAATATGCTTTTATTTTCATGCTGATAATGGCATATTCTTGGTTACCTGCATGCATCTATATTTAAGATCTTAGGTATAGGTACAAAGGCACAAGAATGTCAGAATGTGAAAATCCCAGACTGTTTCTGGGATATCAGTGTCTCTTTAAAGTAACTTGGCATAGTTATCAATAAGGCACAAACCTGGATTTATATGTGATGACCTGTCACACAGATTTTGCTTGAATCTG